AGTGAGGCACAGCCTTGCCGAAAATAGCCAAGATCGATTTATTGTGATTTTAAATATGAAACTGTAGATTATGTTCAGTATTTTTGGTAAGGTCTTACCGTGATAGTAATGAAAAATAATTTTATATTAAATAGTTCAGGGATTTGTCTTATTATGCCTTACTTTTTTTCTTAAAAAATGTTGAAAGTGCCAAAGGGAGCAGCGACCTCCGTTGGAAAAACTTGGGCTGTGAAACAGTGCCTCACAGCCTAAAGACTAAAAACCTAGGCGTTTTTGATATGGCACATCGGCAGCTCACTTAGATCGAGTACGTTTTTGGCGCGGTTACGACAATCAGTAATTCCATCGGTAATGTATAAATCAGGCTCATGAGATACTCAACATTGGCCAAATAAACGTTGCCTCTAAACCGCCTATGCTTCCCTTCTGGCTCCTGCGAGACATCTCTATTGAATATCTCTTTAACGATTCAAAATCTAACATTTCGCCAATGGATGCCCAATTGCTGTTCCATGAGTATGTACAGAGAAACCTAGACTCCACATTCTTCTACACTGACGGCTCATGTCTTTCAAACCAAACGGGCGCGGCAGCCGTGGGCCCGAATATTAGATACAAAATACGCCTGCAAGACCATACCACTATTTTTTCAGCAGAAGTTCACGCTATTCAAACGGTAGTCCGTCATATACAAACACTTCACATTGAACAGGCAATAATCTGCACCGATTCCAAATCTGCCCTTCAGGCTCTAGAAAGAACTGATAACGTCACCCACTACTGCATCCAAAATATCCACAAAATGCTACTAGAACTAGACGAAAGTCAGCATATAACTTTTCTTTGGGTGCCAAGTCATTGTGGCATCGCAGGGAATGAGCTGGCAGACACCCTCGCTAAGGAAGGAGCAATGAGAGCAGACCCTAGTGGGGTGCCTCTCTCGATCGGGGACGTCTGCCACAAACTCCGAACAAAATTTAATACTTACCTACAAAACAAATGGAACCAATCCCACTCTCCTCATTTATATGCGATCAAGCAAAATCTTACATCCTGGACAACTTGCAACCAGCCAAATAGGATTCGCGAGGTTACACTGGCAAGGCTACGATGCGGACATACTCGTTTCACCCACTGTCATCTTTTCGAAAGGACGGACCCACCAATATGCCAAACATGCAACACACGCATTACGGTTGAACACATTCTAATCGGATGCACAGCCCTCCGCAATGAACGAAAACATATCAACAACTACCTTACAAAATATCGCCTCAGAAACGATCTTCCGACCCTTCTCGGAGATGATCCAGCACTTACTGATCTAGTACTTGATTTTGTCTTAAACTCACCTTATTCCGACAAACTGTAAAGTAAGCACCTTTACTTGGCCTTAAGCATACCGCATTACAAGGAATATATAGTCGCCGAACGAATGCGAAAAGCGTTTCTCATCCTTCTCGCTATCATCGCAAGGGACTGTCCACATACTCTGGGACTGTCCCTTCACCCACTGCACAACGACGAGCAGCGGCCAAGGATTCTTCAGTCACGGACCCGGCCGCTGAACAGCGGCAGCGGCCGGGTTTGGGCGACCACAGGCCCGGGTACAACAATCGGCCCTCAACAGCGGCAGCGACATATCCTCCACTCTTCAAACCATTCCTATCATCCAACTTTCATCGTAACATCGTAACCCTACCATTCACAAACTTCCTCCTTCCCTCCCCTCACAAACATCAATTTAACGGTAAGTCTCACTGTCATTTATGTGTCTTAACGTAAATTCATGGGTTTTTCCCCATATTCATGGCATAGTACATGGATATGGGTTTTCCCATGTTGTCTTGCAGTATAAGTGGCCACCGGTCTTAGTTAGGACGGCCGGTTTGTTTTGCGCGGCGTAGTTTAGGTCGCCGCCCTCCTCGCGAGGCCGGTAACGTAAGTTAGGGCCACTAAAAAAAAAAAAAAGCAATGCACAATGCCCCAATCATTGCAAGAGATATCGTCACGTAAAGTGGGCCAAGGTGTCATGTATATTTTATTACTATACAAAAGTAGTAGGAATATATTCTGCGGGTATTGTTGTACCTACTAAAGTTATAAGTCCATATACGAGTGCCTCACCTGAATTTTAACCCAAGCGCCGCCACTGCCATGAAACAAACATTAGAAATGAATACTTGAGTACCTGCCGTGTGCGAATTGGCCATCGGTATTCAAGTGTCGCCTGATTCAAATTTCCTTTCATCAACATCATGGGGCTAAATATGTGCCTCACGAGGTTAATTTATGACAAAATGTGCGGTAGCCCACGGTACACTGTGGAGTACCTATCGGTTTCTGTTAATAAAGTCATACAGATATTTCGCCTTAAAAGATACGAAGTACTTACGTCATCCATTTTTGACGTACTCAACAACACATTTCGACGCTTGTCGTTTCGCAGCACGGAAGCCAAGTTGGAGCGGATGTTAAAACTAAACTCTCGCTTCACTTTGATGTGTTCTGCACGCAAAAAGTACCTTGGCGTGGGTTATCCTTGCGTGTTGTACGTTTCAAATTCTTCCCCAACTTTGGATGCGTGGAACTATTTGTACAACTACCCACATGAGCAGTGAAACTCAGTCCAATCCAGAATCCAATCCAATCCAATCCTCGACGGTCAATTTCCAGTGCTATTTTATATAATGGTATCGTGTAAAATGCATCTGGTTGTACCTATATGAAACAAAAATAACTACGGCAGATAATCCTCAGAACACACACACAAAAGCTCGAATTTGGTAATCCTTCAGACATGACCCTTATTCAATAATATTGTTTTCACAGCTGATCACGAAGGCTCCTCCGGCCAGACAAAGCCCAGGCTGCAAAAGAAAGTGTCACGCCCAGAGACGCGAAAATCTGGCGAGCTTTCACGCACGCGACTGACCCAGAGAGCCCTGGTCACACGCTGCGCGAAGTCGTGAGCCCCGTTCGAGCTAGGGGATAATCTGGGCGCGCCATGACCATAGAGGCTGGGCCCGCGTTCCTGAACACCAGACAGACACGGCATCCAAACACCACGCCCACACGTCGGCACACATCAGCACGTCAGTACACCCACACATCAGCATGCCATCACTCCACGTCAGCACGCCCATACATCAGCACGTCAGTTATATTTAGGTAATGTCAGTACGTTCACATGTCACTGACATGTACTGACTGAATACTGACAAGATGTCAGTATTCCAGTATGTCAGCATGCCCACACATCAGCACGTCAGCCCACGTCAGCACGTCAACACTTCACGTCAGCATGTCAGCACACATCAGCAAGCCCACACATCAGCACGTCAGACGACATCAGCTGCAGGTCAGTACTTCACGTCAGCACACAAGTCTGTCAGCATGCCCAGTGCCCACACATCAGCACGCCAGCACGTCAGCACACATCAGCAGTCAGCACGTTAGCACGCCTAACAGCGTCAGCCCGTGGGTGTCATCACGTGACTAAGGTGAGAGGAGGACAGTCACGCTCCACAGCGTAGTAACGGGTCATGGACGCGTCACGCTGTTAGATTCACCGAGGCGCGTGGCCGGACATAACTCTCAGACCAATCGACTCTCCTTCAACACCTAGAGTAGAATGTTCTCTAGCTCTCTGGACCTGGGGTGGGCGGGTTAGTCGGTATTCCCGGCCCCGTATACTCCGTGATGACGTCATGGTGACAGTAGTGACGTCACAGAGTGCACGACTCTCTCAGGTGAGGTTTCAGGTGAGGCTGGCATTAGGGTATAAATGACGTCACTGGAACGACCACGCTCATTGCAGGCGACTTGTAACAGCGGCCGTGACCCAGCTGGGTGACCACGGTGCCGGAACTCCACAGTCCACACGGAACCAAAGTCGATTGGATAGAACGTCGGACTGCCGGAACGGCGGATGGCTAAAACGTATTTCTGTCGGATAGTCAGATGGATAGAACGTATTTCTACCGGACGGTCAAATGGATAGAATGTATTCCGGCCGGACGGTCGGATGGATAGATCGCATTTCTGCCGGATCGTCAAATAAATGAACTGTCAGGCTGTCGGATGGATGAACTGTCGAATAGTCCGACGATCGAACAGATGAAATGTCGGACTGTTTGACTTGGACAGTTGGACGACATGGACGGTCGGTCAGGACGACATGGACAAGATGCCGGACGATATGCAGTAGTCGGCTGGCCGGTTGGACAAGTTGGTAGTCGCAGGAGCCAGACCAATGCGATCGAACTCGACAGGCAGACAGAACGAGGCAAGGAACAGGAAATGCAGCATAATTCGAACAGTGGCAGAGCGGCGGTGCCATCTCCTGTCTTCTGGGCGATTAGGAGATATGCAAAGGACACGACATTGGGGTTACCAGTTGAGATCAATATTGACCACCAGCCCAAAGTGTGCCGAGTCGGAATACAGCAGCACATAGTGACTCATGACATTCCTCGCTGAGTTGTATGCAGTGTAAATAATGCAGGCACCTTCTCCATGCCGATTGTAACACAAATGCACGGTCAACGCATCAGGTAACTGAGGTTGCTCGCATACATACATTACCTGCGTCGCATACAGCATACATTGCGGCTGCTTTCAATGGTGTCAAGGTAGGGTGACGTAATTTCTGCTGAATTCCCCTTCGCGCCGCCTGCATAAGACCATACATTATGTCCTCTGCAAGGTGCATCGATGACTACGTGCAACGCCGCGATTAAATATGACTAACTCACTCCACGGCACGGAAAGTCAGGCTCGAAGGATACATATCAAACCATTCGCTGGTTAATTCCGGTGTTTAATAGTTATTGGGGAAATCCGCAGATTTTCTTATTCAAGTGTCAGGTCTGAGCTGCTCAACGGTCTCACGTACGACTAGACTGAAGCATATGATTCCAATTCGCATATAACATGTAGCGGCACTTCGTCCAGTATTCGGTAATATCGCGCAGTTACAGTCACACAAAAGTCGTCAATTCGCTGCCTTTGGTCGTATGTATTTGTGCACAAAAACATGACCAAAAAGCACGAGTATATATGAAATATCCAATTCAGCGTTGACTAAAATGAATCACAAATCTTTGGTCCACAGGTCATGGTATCGGTACACATGTTAACCTTGCGGGTGTCGTGGACAAAAACCGGCAACTCACCACGACCACGAGCCTCGGAACCTGTGTTTAGTCTACTCCTACGCAACGCATATATTGATTAAACGAACTAACTAATCCAAACAGACTGCGGGTCTCTAACGCGGCAGCGCCGCCCGGCACTCAGCTACTGAAGAGCAAAAACATGACCTTGCATAAAACAGATCACGCGCGCCTCGCTACAATTCAAACCCCTCACGGCACACGCCCCCCCCCCCCCCCGCGTGCGTAGACAAACACGCCAGCACGCGCGAGGCTGAACGGAAGGCACAGGCGGCCGGCACGCGCACACACAAAGTCTGACATGCCGGTTACAAGGACAGGCGGAGTGGAACGACCCTCCAGCCCGCCCGGTGAAGCATAGACGCAGGACTTCGGTACAGATAGAGACCGATACAAGGGGTACAGACGGATACGGTGCCACTGCTTAGGTGCATTCGTACCGCGCGAGTAGTAGAGCAATGTGTTTGCGTGCGAAAACCGACGGTGCCGGCAGCGCGTTTGAATCACATGACATGTTTTACAAACTTCTTTTTACTATCAATATTTAAGTAGATGTTAACATTTTGCTCAAGAGTTCATAGAAAAGTCCACAGAATACTTGCGGGAAGACCTTTTCTAGTGCAATGGCCACCAGATTCCAGAATATACAAAATTTCAACAGATCCAAACCCAATGCGACACAATCATATGCATAGCGATTAAAACATCCGTGTACGACCAAACGCCCACGCAGCATTTGTGAAAAAGGCATGACCAAGGCATAAATGATGTTTGTGAGACAAGTGCTTTTTAACATCCTTCAACGTTCCACAACCCTCAATTTGTAAGATACATTATTCGATAAATGCACGATGAATGGAAGCTTTCTGGGCACAAAGTATATCAAAATAGATCGTGGCGCATTCCTGGCATTACCTACAGCTAAAATTATTAGTGCTTTCGTACGAATCAGGGGACATTGAGTTGCCGATAGATAATGGTAACATAGCCACAGTTACCAAGAGTAGAGACATAAGGAAACAATAAGATCCACCCAAAGGGCCAAAGACATATAAGGAAAAAGCCATTCGCTTACTATTCACAAGATATCAATAGGTTTGGATAAAATTGAGCAACAGTGTGTCTATTAATTGGTTGCGAGATGTTGATACAAAAAAAAAAAAAAATCGGAAACGTAAGGCAAAAACGTAAAGCTAATCTATGTATGGCAAGAGGGTTGATGAGGCAAGACCGGTGCGGACACTGCAGCATAAAAAGGAGCTCACGTAATGTAGCTCAACACCATCAAAATCATTTGATCAGCATTTGAACAAAACATACGACGGAATATACAGCTGTTGGTCAGAACGAGCAGAAAACAAGGAATGTCTAATGTCTTATATGCGTGTCATACGGTCTTATTTGGTCCATATCCAGGAAGGATAGAGCTATGACAGAGCCACAGAGCTCAAACACAGCGCAAACGGAAAGAAAGAACAGACTCACAGTGCAGGAAAAATGTGGGAATTTACATACGTGCGATTTTACAATGAACATATGATTTTAGTCATAATGCATAAACTCCGGAAAACCACATACAAACTTGTGTAAAGTGACGGAAGATATGGTCAAACATGGTTGGAAAGTGTCACGCCTGGTCATCGACGGAGAGTTTGCGAGAAAAATGGTTATCAGTAACGATACGTTAGTATGTAACGCTCCAACTTGTTAGATCAGTCTTTTACAGGCATGTACCGCTATCTTGGATAGCGTCTTACAAGGGATGACGGGCTAAGTAGACGAGCACAGCTTTGAATAGGGAATAAAATTGGTCATAAAAATGACGTATACTTTTTCCTGCCTAGTCAGATCAGCGTGAATGACATTCGTCCGTGATCCTACCAGAGGGAACATTTAAGGCTACTATCGCAAATAATTTAGCGCAATTTGTGAAGGAATTTAAATGTGATTCGTGTTAATAACTACAAAATTCTTAAAATGTTACGTACCATAAAACGAAACAAAAACCTAGAGCGAATAAAAATTTCCCATAAACATATGCATTGTGCATTTATAGGGAGAGAGCTTGAAAAGGCACTACATGAATCTATGTCACAAACAAATTGCGACAAAAATAAAATATTGTGATCTACTATGGTAAACGACCCATAAATCGCACAGGACGTTACCAACCACGGATAGCGTGCTTGCATTGCATCACGGAAACTCCTGACAACCAACCCGCACAGGTGATGGCACCGAATTTTCCTGTTTTTGATCTGTTTAATCGGTATACTTCCGGCCACCCCGGCACCCGCGACGAATGCCCCCACTACACCCCGCCCTCAGTTGTCGCCGACCGACCGGTAGGTGGCAGCAGCGGCGCTGGAGACAGCTCATTTTTGGAGCTTCTCCACGATCCAGTCGTCTGTGAGCTCCTCCAGTTCACGAACTTCGTAGACTTTGGTCAGGTCGGCCTCCTTGACCAGCGAGAGCTTGCTGCCGGCGTACATCATCTGGAGCTGCGGCTTAGCGTCTGCGAACACACATAGATGTCGTCAAAATGACGTAAAATGACGACGCATGACGAGAAACGCGTATTGCCATTGCGTATTACGTATGGCAATGAACATTTCTTCATCGATTTACGAAAACATGCATGGTACCTGGGACGTGCCCACGTATAAATGCTATGAATGAGCAGGCACATTGGTTAGTCACAATGCTCTTTGGCCACACCCAGCCACGAATGTCCGTGACTCAGTTGTAACATGATTCACTGCTGACGCATTCTCCCTACCCATTCACCTTTCTAATCCACTCATGGCCTGGTAACTGTGGTCTAAATATTTGCCAGCCTGCCTTAACTCTCGCGACGCATCCCCACTACTGATTTCTCTCGAGCCCCCATCCCCCCAGCCCTACCATAATCGCACTCTCTGCCCGTTCAGCACCCACCCAACACACCTTTTGGCGTTGAGAATATGAAGATCATGGGATAACTGACTCGTCCGTCCGTATGCTCCAGGCGACACGAGTAGATGACGAACCGCGGCTGGTGCTCGGGCAGCTCCGCCCGCAGCTCTTCCAGCCCGGCGAGGTCGTCCAGCTCCTCGTCCACAAACACGGTGTGGCTCTCGCTGTCCACCTTCACTGTGGAATGAAGTGGAGTGTCAACACAAACACGGTGTGGCTCTCACTGTCCACCTTCACAGTGTGGAGTGGGGTGGAATGTGGATACAAACACTGTGTGGCTCTAGCTACCCACATTCACTGTGGAATGGTATGGAATGAATATGATGTGTGGGTTGCCATGAAGATGTTCACAGTTCACACATAGGTACTGTGGTTGCAGACTGCAGTCCACAGTGTTATAACACTTGACCAGTTTGGCTGACAGGATACAGTTGTATCTATAGAACTACCTGGCCGACATTACTGAATGATAAGAAAAGATGGCTAGCTGGTGTGAGTAAGGCAGTTTGGTGGCTATAAAAAGCAAGTATGCACAAAAAGATATGAAGTCAGATGTTTTACTTACAAATCAATGCGGCATTGGTGGTTTCCTTTCTAAACCGGAATTTCCTGATGCTCTCTTTGGCTTCATTTGATATTTCACAGATTTGCACATTCTGAGCCTGAAACATTATTTCTCAAGTAAATAAGTGTCATGTGAAAATTGCCTTTTCTGGTCCACCTGAGCCCTAAGGGCTGAGATCTGAGACCTACATGGTTATGAGATTTAATGTTCTTAGTCATAAATTACAGTCTCAGGATATGAAAAGCTATGATACTTGCTATGCTGCCAAAAAAAGTTTGGAACATGAAACAAGCACACAAACACCTGGGAATAGTGAATACACAAGTAACAACTGACAAGTAAACTTCTTCGCTAAAAACAGAAAAGTACCTACTCACCATTTCTTTTAATAATCGTAATATGAATTGATCAAGATATATGGACTATGAGCATGGACGAGTGCGCTTACTAGCTAGGCACAACAGCAACACTCTTCACTAAGCCTCAGAATCTCAGCACTCAATTTTTAATGACCTTTAGCAAGGCCCACACTTAAATTTGATTCAATAACTTTGACTTTAAGATGTTGACTTAAGTACCATCGAGCTGAGCTGGAAAAGAGAAAAGCACATAAATAAGTAATTCACATTCAATTAGAAAAGTGTAGTACACATTTTGATGACAATCAGCTGATGTGAGTCAAAGTAGATATTTGCACAGTGTATGTAAATATTTCAGCTTGAATATTTGGATATTTGAGTTAGAAAGGTGTGTGTAGGTACCTCAAAACCAAGTAAAGAGCATCTTCTAAGAAACAGCTTTTTCAGGGTTCAGGCCAAGTTCAGGCCAAGGCCAAGGCTATATAAACCGCAGCAGCAAAACGGCAGCTGTCCAGGTTCCGGCAGTCAAAACCAATCAATAGAACCGCAATGGCAAAACATGTAACAACAAAAACGCAAAAAATAGACAGCATAATCCCAATTCCCAACCCGCCCAACCCAAAACACACAAAGAGCCGTGAGCTAACCCCGCGTTCGATGTCTCTCGGACGACGAAGATTCTACGTCGTCCGGCCAATCCCGTCCAAGGTCAGTGGGGGCTCGGCTGCGGTTATGGAACGTGATTGGTCGGACGGCGTAGAATCTTCGCCGTCCGGGAGACATCGAACGCGGGGTTAATGTGAGCCAAAGCGATGAGCTAGGCGGTATGCGGGGGTCTATTCTAAAAAAGGAAAACGATGATAATATTTAATAAATTGGTGAAGAATTGGTGAAGGTAAATTGCGTCATATAAAACAAATCTTCATTAAGTGTCTAAATTTTGTGCTTTATATTAATTATTAGTTACCAAAAACTAATAATTTATTTGCTTTATTATTAAGTAATTGTAAAAAATGTAAATTTCCTGCATTTATTTCCTAAAAGTAATATGCTCTGTCATATTTATCCAAAATCCATACTGCTACATTTGTAACAGCTGCGCAGTGTTATGCTACATTTGTTAGATTCCCGCGTTCTGTTTACTTTCATTTCATTGTAGTGTGGTGTGTGCGGTGTTGCTTGGTTGTAATTTTGTTACTTTTGTCCGTATCTTGGTCCGCGTTTCCGAAGAGGCCTGGCGGTTTATATAGCCTTGGGCCTGGCTGAGAGAACATACTATACGAGAAATACTTTTTTTCATCTACTTCTGTACCTGTTGAAGAATTGGTGAGGGTCCTTCCGTGATCCATCTTTGAATCGGAATTTGTAAAGCAATGGAATGCTCATTTTTGGCATTATTGCTTACTAATGCCTTGTAATGCCAGTTTCATGTCACTAGTAAGCCAGACTTGAAAACATCCATACACTACGCCGGACGCCTGTGAGACCCTCTTGCGCCGAAATTCGGGGCAAACAATTTTGCGCTGAAATATCTGTGTGATTTGCGCCAAAAGTTACGTGCCCATGTGTGCGAAAATTAAGCCCTTTTTATATAAAGCACATGTGAAAATCTACCGATCAAGGCTATATGAGCCCAACAGAGTGTTCCGGGGCCTTGTACGCTCTCCCATGTTTGAGCGTCCGAATGAGTTTTTTGTTTCCACGGAAACCCAATACCTCAATAGTCTTAGCGCACTCTAGCTTCATGCGGTGAAACAAAGTTGGAGCCGTGAGTTCCGGGGCCACAAATGATGTTAATATCGGCGGAGCAGTGCGTTCGAGGCTGGCGGGAGTCAGCGAGGGCCGGGCAGAGGAACAGCATGTGCTCCGGCACATCACCCTCTTCTCGGCACACGGCGCAGAGCGCCGCGGGGCACCGCTTGTCTGGGCACTGCTGGCACGCCGCGGAGTGGAGACAGCCGATTCGGTGCCGTATTGGAGCGAGCGGCCCCAGTGGCCACTGGCCCGCCCTCATCTGGTGCATCGAAACGGCATCCTCTCGGTCCTCTCCGGGGATAGGGAGCGGCGGCGTGCTCCCGAGGAGTGGCTTGAATAGTGATTCTGAGTAGTTGTCGCGCTCTGCGCCGCACAGTGCGATGCGAGGCCGCACAGCGAACCGCCCTGGTCAGCGAGTGGGCGTTTGAGGGCAGGGCGGCCGCCTGTTTTGCCAGGTCGTCCGCGCTCTCATTCCCCTCGATACCGCAGTGGGCAGGAACCCACTGCAGTATTGCTTAACGACGCTTGGCGATGTTCAACAAGGTCTTCTTTACCTATCTCCACGCCGAGGGTTGAGGTCTCACCTGGGCGGCCGCTGGGCGGCCCTCCTGAATATGATGTGATGGCCAGCCGGCGAGCTGCCAGTTTAGCGGTACCTAGTTGTAAAGCCGGTGTCACTATTGATTTTTTCGGCGAGTCCCTCTTTGTCCCGCTGGGACCGGCTGAGTTCTACTTTGTCCCACCGGTTGAGTGACTTTGTCCCGCCGGAGCCGGCTGAGACCCACTGTGTCCTGCTGGGACCGGCCGAACCCCATTGTATACCTCTGGGACCGGCCGAGTCCCACTATGTCCAGCAGTAGTGGGCTGAGTCCCACTATACCCCGCTGAAGCCGGCTGAGTCCCAATTTGTCACGCTGTAGTCGGCTGAGTCCCACTTTGTCCCGCTGGGACCGGCCAAGTCCCATTGTGTCCTGCTGGGACCGGCTGAGCCCGACTTTGTCCCGCTGGAGCCGGCTGAGTCCCACTATGTTCCGCTGTAGTCGGCTGAGTCCCACTATGTCCCTGCGCTACCGTTACCCATTTTTCATTCTGCACAGTGCAGGGCGATCTCGCTGTTCTACTCAAATCCTATCATCAATAGCAAACACGGCATCGAATTCTGTTTCACTGTTGGGATTTGAACCCGCGACCCCCGTCGTCATGCCCGATAATCTCTTCCTCATCGATAGAAAGCACGCATCGATAGTACGTCCGTGACGTAATATACTGCGACGACACTAGCGCCAGTCTCAAGGCCACAGCCCGTCACACTACCTCCAGCCATATAGGTACACGGAAGTGTGACGCCTGCTTTACGACTACCGAGATGCTTTCTAAACGAACTAAAAACCTAAAACCTACAACCTAACAACCTATCTACAGCACCTTTCCTTCGTTGCAAAAAATGAGTGTGACCCCTGCTTTACTGCTACCTGATTAGCATGGGAGTTGTAGCTGGGCCTGCTTGATGCAATTACCTCGATTTGCAGGGGGGCACGATTTGGGCACGATGGCTAAAACTTTTGGTTTTTATTAGTTTAAAAAATACTAATTGATCAGTGCAGTATATGCCATAAAATTTTTGCAAACTTAATTGTATCTGCTCAGATGGGAAAGTGCCCTCCAAAGTTTTAAAATGAAGCATCACCTGGAAAACATTACCATTGTTAGAATATTTCATTTTCCACATGTCTATGTGAAATCAATTGATGACTCAGACTACAATTTAGAACTGCAATGCAAGCTCCTTAGCTCAGCGGTGCTGAATTATGTGTGAGTAGCGGACCTTCTCAACTAACAACAAGAGGTTGAGGTGGTCCCTGTCCGCCGGCAGAGGACATCATGCTGGTGGACTCGCCTCCTGGCTCTCCGACCCCATGGCGCAAGGTGCTGTATGAGCGCCAACCATACCCTGACAACTATGTGGGTGCCTCGTTCCTGGAGGATCTGCGCAAGAACGTCAATGTGACGCTCTACAGCCGGCAGGCGGCAGTGCTGGCGGCAGGGCCGGTGCTGCAGCAGCTCTCCAGCGTGGTGTTGGTGGCGCTGGCATTTACTTGGCTGGATGAAGGCATGCTACAGCCGGAGCCACTGCTGGCCACCATCGCTGTGACCACCACGCTCGGCTACCTGTGGCTGCTGTTGGACTCTACGAACCTGTCCTCGGGCGGCTGGCAGCAGCAACTGACAGCCGACCTGCGCCTGGCCGCAGTGTTCCTCGTGTTTGGCTATGGCCTGTCTCCCCTACTGGCCACTCTGACAGACTCAGTGAGCACGGACTCTGTGTACGCCCTGGCCGCCTCCGCCATGGCCCTACACCTGGCCACGCACGACTACGGCGCGCGCGCCGCCTGCGTCTCGGCGGCCGTCTCGCTGAACGCTGGCCTGTTCGGCGCGCTGTGCCTGGCCTCACGGCTACCCAGCACGCTTCACGTGTTCGCCTTCCTGACGCTGGCGGCGCAGCTCCTGGCGCTGCTGCCGCCGGTGCGTGCTCACGTGCGCCGCCGCTGCGGCCGGCTCGCGCTGCTGGCGGCGGCCGTGACCCAGGCGGGCGCGGCGCTGCTGCTGCTGGGGCGTCTGAGCGGCACTGCCGCGGCGCTGCTGACCGCCGGGTACCTGCTGGTGTGCCCGCTGCTGCCGCTGCTCTATGTGCGTCTACAGAAGTACAAGGATAACATCTACGGTCCGTGGGACGAGGCCATAGTAGAGGACACGCGGAGGACGATTCGACGTGACGACCTGCTCCGAGAGGACTGAAGAATTAAGACAAAGTGAGTGCTACAAAGTGAGTGTCATAATCACAAAGCACACCGTCGGAATGAGTGTGTGATGAATGGTGACTACCGATAAAGGGACCGGACCGTGTTAAGTTTGTATTGGATGTGCGCGAAAAAGCAGCGTGGTGCGCGGAATCCATCGTGAATGGTGAGTGACTGTGGGCGTGGACTGTTCGAGTATGGATGAGTTCTGAATTTCTCACACTGCGCGGGCTGTGTTAGCGATGGACTGAAAGACACAGACGATGTGAATTGTGAACTGTGATCAATAAGACCATGCACTGAATATGGATAATGGGTGTGCTTTGTTGAGATTCAATTTTTTGTGATCATGATTAGCGTTGGTTTGTGTTTTATGACGGCTTTTATCCCGAGCATACCTATTACCTAACTAGCCATTTTCATTTTACGATTTCACTTTGACTAATTTATTGACTTATTATGTTCTTATATTCCTGATTGAAATGCTTTGTTTCAGTCGGTTGTGCATGGATTTGATTCGTTTGTGTTGGTGTTGCGTTTTTGTGACCGATTGGTGTGGCGAACCTTGGCATCTGCACTCTGCATCTTGGGCCTTTCACCCATTGATAACGTATCGTTTAACCTTCGCCCCAGTGGGGGGGGGGGGCATATGTTACCACCCTGTCGCGTTTTTTTCGTATAAATAAAAACCGCGGCGCGTAGCGCTGCGCCGCTTGGGGTAGCTTTTGGTACATCAATTTTGGACAATGTGTGAAATTTTTGACCCCAGGTCATGTCAGGTCAGGTCACTAGGTCAAGTTAACTGACCAAGCCTAAAAAAAAATTGCAATCATGTCCAGCCTGCAGTGTTTGTCAGAGAGGTTTCAAACTTGGTGGATTACATGATGTTATGGGTGCCTACAATTTGTATATCTCGGATTTTTATATGCGTGACCTAAGGTCAGGTCAGTGGCGTGACCTTTCCATTATAAGTCAATGGAGAAAAACGAAAATGCCTCTAGATTCGTGTGTACGCATAGGAACAGTCCAAATATTTCAGGATAACAATGATTTGGACCACCCGTGACGACCAAGGTGTCTTTTTTGCTGATAGCCTCTTGAAAGGTCATCCGAGGTCATTTGAGGCTACAAACAGTTTTTTGCCAATAACTCTCGATTGGAAAGAGATAGAACGCTGGGGTTGGCCTCATTGTGTTTGTCTTGCCAAGACGCATCGACTGATATGCAACATGACCTTTTCCGGTCAGGTCATGACCTTGACCTGAGGTCAAATTTTGAAGTTGACCTTTCAAGGTCAAGTTATAGTTCATTCGACGCGTCTCGGCGAGAGGAACACGATTTTGGCATTAGAAATGATTTAGCTTTTTTAGTCAAAAGTTATTGCCGAAAAACACTTTTCTTAAAAACAGCTATTTTGGAGTTTTTGCCCTCTGGAGGCTAAACCGTTGACCTGAGGTCATTTTTGATGATGACCTTATCAAAAGAAGAGTTCAAAAGCTATCGATTGCTTTTCCCAGCGTTTTTCTAGCTATCATAGTTCCTGAGATAATGGCATGTTTTCTGAAAAATATAATGACAATTCGCAAATTTTGACCTTTGATGACCTCTGGTGACCCCAAAATTGCTCTAAGATGAAAAATGACCGAAATACTTTCAAACGTACGCATTAAGAGCTATCGACTGCTTTTCACCGCGTCTTTCTAGCCCTCTTAGTTTTTGAGTTAGAGGTGGGTGGTAACATATGCCCCCCCTCACTAGGGCGAAGTTGGCGGAGACCGCCACTGGGGCGCGGGTTAAAAGCCGTGTAAACGTGCTTTTGCTGGTTAATTTCCATAAATGTGTTACGACTTTCGTTTATCAGCCGTGTAAATGTGTTTCTCCGGGTTCATATCATCAGCGAATGTGTTTTGACTTATGACATGTCTATAATACATGACATTAAATGCCACGGAAAGGAATATAACGCTATATTTACTTAATGGTGAAACGTGCTATCCTAGTAATGGTATACCGTGCTATCTAGTAGGTACGGCTGATTCGAGACTTCGAGACATTACGTCGCACCAATGCACGAGTAACCTATTGA